ATTGTAATTCATGGGAGAATCTTTGTAACAACCCACAAATTACTGAATCTTACAAAGCAACAGACAGAATTGTTAATCTGGCTTTCTTAAAACACAAAAGAATGTTTACTTTTGTTTTATAAAGACTATTTATGATATTGACCACTATACATAAATTAGAACATCTAAAATGGTCTAAGGAAATACTGCTGCTGCCTATTTTAATACGGCTGCAGTTAGCAAGAGCCTTTGCCTATGTTTTGAATGAATGAATATATATATATATATGTATATATATATATATATATATATATATGTAGACATACAACAGGTTGATATAATTTCTAGTTAAAGTTCCTTAGCATACCCTGAAGCTGTTGGATTAGGCTACATGAGATCACTGACCCATTACTGTATTTTTTCTACTAAAACTGAACTCCAGACTCCTGCACAGTCCCATGGCCTTTCCTCTGGTCCCAGTCAGTCATGTCTTATACCTGGAGGGGGTACTGTTTGGGGAGGTTATGGGACCTTTAGGAGGGTTAGCCTGGCCGACGGAGATGGGTTGCTAGACTTTGGGGCTATATAAAGCCCATGGCCACGTCCAGTCACTTTCTTATTCCTGGTCCACTAAGATGTGGACAAACACATAGCAAGCTCCGACTACCAAGGACTGGCCACCACAGCCATCAAGCTTCCTTCTCGCAGAGTTATCCTGGTCCCTCTCACACTGTGATCTCACCACTAAGTTCCCTCTGCCAGGTACTCTGTCAAAATGACAGGAACGAAACTAATACTGTGGGAACAAAATCTCAAATAAAGGCAATAATCGAAAGGCTGTTTTCCTTAATGGACACATTAAATGACTGGAATATTAATCACAAGTTATTGATTTTCCAATTAAAGGTAGTTGCAGTTGTTTTGAATTCGTAAGTTTAGAATTTGTAGTAAGGTCACTTGCTAATGAATGTAAGTTATACCTGGGGGGTGCTTGTTCATCAGTGTAAATGGGAATGAAAGAAATACATTTTATCTATTTAGAAAAACTATTTTCCATGTAATTTTTACAGTCTGATTATAGAATGAGTACAGCTCAAAACTACTTACACTTGAACCTCGTAGGCTAATATAAAATTTATAAAGTTATTAATTTTATTCACTTAGTACTAATACTTTAATCTCTTCATGGTGACTTCCATTCCAGCCATGCCCAAATAAGCTTTGCATCCCTCCTGAGAATATGAAGTACTCCCACACTCTACCTAAGTGTTAAATGCAGGAGAAGGGAACACCCTTTGGAACCCAGTTGCCCCAAGCAAGGTGAGGGCAGGAAGCTTAGTGCTCCTCTGAGTGCTAGGAATTCTCTGCTATCTGCGAACTTGATCTTCCAGAACCCTGGGCTCTTTGCTAGGAACCTTCCGGAGCCAGTCACCAGGAGAACCACACAGCCTGTCCCTCTGTAGCTAGTGGCTGTGCTGAACTCTGAAATGATTCCCTTTTCTAAATTTCCTAGACGTGAACCATTCTCAGAGGAAAACATCTAGGGATTCAGGAGTAGAAACTGGTGTTTTGCTGTCAGGTAGAATTCTTTGGGCCTTCTGACTATTACACGCCAAAGGTAGCTACTATTCATAAACAGCATATGTTATGCCTAGGCTTGCACGGAAGTACAGTCTAAACGCTGCAGAAAACCAAGACTGACTGACTTAGGAAACACGTCAGCTGATCTCATCTCCGTATCACTAAAAGATGGCAGCCTTTTAGCATTGGACTGAGTTTTTCAATCCTTGATGCAGGGGGAGGGGCTTGGACCTGCCTCAACTGAACATACCAGTCTTTGCTGAGTCCCCATAGGAGGCCTTACCTTTTAGGAGGAGGGGATG